AAAGTTGATATGAATGCCTAACATGTTGACATTTTCGACCGTTTTGAAAAAATTCTGAAATAAAAACCTTCGTTATGCCGTGAGGGCTGTAGGTCAGGGGATAACTAGAGCCCCCCGGCTATCCAACCCGACCACTCTGGTCCAAATCCGATGTTGCATTTGTGAATAAAAGGCCTCCGAAAAGGGAAAATATGCCCTTTTTCCCGAAAAGTTGGCCTGAACGCCTAACATGTGGACATTTTCGACCGTTTTTAAAAAAATATTAAAAAATAAACCTTCGTTATCACGTGAGGGCCGTACGTCTGGGGGTATCTACAGCCCCCCGGCTATCCAACCCGACAACTCTGGTCCGAATCCGATGTTGCGTTTGGGAAGAAAAGGCCTCTGAAATGGGAAAATGTGACCTTATATTAATAAGGGAAATAATGACCTTATAATAATAAAGGCATATTTTCCAAATCCAGGGGCGTTTTATTCCCAAATGCAACATCGGATTTGAACGAGAGTGGTCGGGTTGGATAGCCGGGGGGCTGTAGTGACCCCCAGACCTACAGCCCTCACGGGATAACGAAGGTTTATTTTTTAATATTTTTTTTAAAACGGTTTAAAATGTCCACGTTCGGCGTTCAGGCCAACTTTTCGTGAATAAGGTCATATTTTCCCTATTCGGAAGCCTTTTATTCCCAAATGCAACATCAGATTTGGACCAGAGTGGTCGGGTTGGATAGCCAGGGGGCTCTAGTTACCCCCAGATCTACAGTCTTCACGGGATAACGAAGGTTTATGTTTTAAGAACTTTTTCAAAACGATCGAAAATGTCAACAACATGTTTGGCGTTCAGGCCAACTTTTCGGGAATAAGGTCATATTTTCCAATTCCAGGGGCCTTTTATTCCCAAATGCAACATCGGATTCGGACCAGAGTGGTTGGGTTGGATAGCCGGAGGGCTGTAGTTACCCCCAGACCTACACCCCTCAAGGGATAACGAAGGTTTATTTTTTAAGAATTTTTTCAAAACGGTTTAAAATGTCAACATGTTAGGCGTTCAGATCAACTTTTCGGGAATAAGGGCATATTTTCCCATTTCAGGGGCATTTTATTCCCAAATGCAACATCGGATTTGGACCAGAGTGGTCGGGTTGGATAGCCGGGGGGCTCTAGTTATCCCCTGACCTACAGCCCTCACGGCATAACGAAGGTTTTTATTTCAGAATTTTTTCAAAACGGTCGAAAATGTCAACATGTTAGGCATTCATATCAACTTTACGGGAATAAGGGCATATTTTCCCATTTCAGAGGACTTTTATCTCCAAATGCAACATCGGATTCGAACGAGAGTGGTCGGGTTGGATAG